AGATACTCATGTTATTACGATCTCCATCATTATCACTCTTAGTTGTAGCTGCACTGTCCCTTGATCCATCGTCCTTTGGTTTATTTCTTCCGAATTTTCTTCATGTTTATCATCGCCCTCATGACCACCATTGTTACCATTCCTTCCACCCCCACTCCCATCACCATCCCCATCCTCCTTTCTGATAACATTTAATCTATCATTCACTAGTCGTTTAACACTCTTAATCTCAGAAAAGAGTGTATTGATTTTGCAATTCATGTTATCGAGGCTACTTAACATCATTTCTTTAAACTCTTCAAAAAGTGGAGTTATATAGCTTTCATTCCTATTCGATGGTTCACCTTCCTCCAAAATTATTTTTTTTACCTTTAATCGGTGCATTCTCATCTTCTTCGAACATATTTTCAAACTCGAACTGCATTAAAATTAACATATCAGTAATATAGTCATCAATATATATATATATATATATATATATACATTGAAAATAAAACTAATCGCTATTAAAAATAAAGAAATAAATAATACCTCCTCATTCTCGAAAACTCTAATCGCTATATCCCGCCATTCCGGTTGTGATGTAGCCTCCCAATTTACCATTAGTGGTATATTAGTAGATATGTGCTTGGCATATTTTGTTTCTGCTGAAGAAAGCAATGGTATGCATTTGTATGCCCAAATAACCAATGCTAATGGCATTCCAGAGAGTCCCACAACCGATGCATCAGAGTTTTTAATCGCTTTCTTTATAGAGTCGATTGTTGAGTTATAGCAAACACGCCCCCACGGGTAGTTCTCAAATTGTTCGGTGTCATCAAGAAGCTTGATATATTGCACCTCAATTCCGACTGCTCGTTGTTTTCTCAACAAGAAATTTGACAACAAAAATAATTGTGCCATCTTAACCCTGTCCTTCTTCTTCACTACATCCATTGAATTAAACAAGGTACTTGTCGTTGCCCTCTTCACGGGAATTGTTGAATTGTTGAAATATTTTGTCAAGAATCTCTCACTCAGTTTTTTGAAGTCCACAGAAGGTAGTTCATCACACTTAGGTCCAGTAATAGCCTCAAATTCTTGTAATCCAAAATGAACCACTTTGATCTCAAAGTTGAAATTAATTCCATCTCCTGGGCAAGGGCTGCATTGTCTCCTAATTATGTGGTTAACTAGTTGTAGTGGATATTTTTTGATCTTTACATCTAAGAAGCTTCCAAAACACATATTTCTAAATTTTCTTAGATGTTTTTTTGAAAGTACGTCCTTAATATTCTCCAGCATTTCTAATTTTGAGTATATTTGAGGTTTGGTTCTATTTAACCACTTATCCCTAGGAAGTAACAATGGAGCCTCCTGAACATGATATAAGCCTAAATGTAATAATATGCACATGATATATTGAAAAATAACAATACAGTACATGGATATATAATACATACCACATACACATCTGCCTTGTTCTGACCAATAAAATTGCTTTTATCATATTTCTCTTTTCTCCTCCTATCTTTGCGTCTTGGTTTTTTAACATTCTGTAATTCAATAAAGATTAATATAATCACTTTCACTTAACAATGTACTTATACCAAA